GACCCTGTTTTGGTCATTTTCTCCTTTCTTCTTAAGCTCGGTGGGCTGAGCTCCCTTGGTCACTATCGGAGTCTTGGCAACCAAAGGTTTGGTTTTCGGTCAACCAACCCTAGCTTTCTCACCCTTCAAAGGTTTCTTGCCCACCATTTTGGTTGGCCTACTAACTTCAGACTTAGAATTTTTTTGTCTTAAAAGCCCTAGTTCAATGGGCCTCAAATTCCGAGATTGGCTCTTCTGAGGCCATTACCACGACTAGGCCATTCACCCATTCCCAATGTATTTTCATCTCCTCGGCCGAGGCTGCCTCCAAGGAAGCGACGGCATCGGCCTTGGCCAACTCCAATTCCTCCAATTGAAGCTTCTCTTGAAGCTCGACTAATCGGTCAAGTTGAGCTTGGCTTTAGTCCGCCCATTCTAACTTCGCCTTGCAAGTGGTTGCATACTGCCTTTGAGCCCTTCTCGTTTGCTTAGGGGTACCGGTGAGAGTTTTGGCCTCTGCTTCTATACCATTGGCTCGCTTTTATGTTTGACACCTTTGAAAGTTGGAACACCACTATCGTTTGCGGGGTGGGGTCTTAATACATAGGCCACATCTCGGCTTTTGCCTCACCCACTGAGATCCACATGCTTCTGTTTTAGCTTGAGTCTAGCGAATTAATGTCTTCATACCTTAGAAAGGCATGTTGATTTCTCCTCTTAAGCTGATATCATGACCTATCTTGGTAGTCATACAATGGTCGTTTGTTCGGCTTTACTTCCATTTTGCCCATTGGGCTTTGTAGGCTATAATTCTCGGCCGGACTTGTTATCGTATTCCTCTCAAAACTTCTAGATCTACCCACTTGGACTTGATACTTGGTTCTCTCCTTAATCAACCCCTTGGTACGTTCCTTGGGCTTTGGCGGAATTACTTTGAGAGTCACCTCACATTGGCATCGACTGCATAGCACAAGTTTACCCCGACCGACTCTTCTTCCTCTTCTAGGAAAACCTCTTGATCTCTTTCTTCCTACTCTATACCTTTCAACGTCCACCGTGTGGACTACCATAGTTCTAGGCCCAGAGGGTTTGGCCGAATTCTTATAAAAGGTTGGTTGAGGTGTCTGCCACCCTTTTTTTTGTTCCTCCTTTACAAGGGCTTCATATCGGTCCACCCGAAATAGGAGATCATAAATGTCACGAAACTCAATTCCTTCGAATTTCTTTCGAATGTCAAGCAACAAGCCTCCTTGGGCCAATTTCGCAAATTCGAGCTCTGGCATATTAACTATGCACCTAGCCATTGCTTCTTTAAATCGCCCCAAGTATTCTTGGACTTAGTCATTTGGCTTTTGCCTTCTCTTTGCCAAGTTAGCCATTGAGACTTCCAGCTTCAACCGATAGAATTGCTCGCGGTAGATTTGCTCCATGACTTGCCAATTTGGGATGGAGTTTTGTGGAAGTTTGACATACCACGAGAAAGCTGCTCCCGTGAGTATACTTGAGAATAACCTTAGTTTCAAGGCCTCATGATGCCCAATCTCTGCACATTGAATCGTGAATCGACCAATATGTTCGACTGTCGATTGGAGCCCATCTCCCGAAATAGTGCTAAACCCAGAAGCTTGGGACCCCTCGAAAATTCCTCTTGAACATAGTGCTTCGAATATGGCCTTCGGTATACTGGCCAACCAATCCTCCTAGCATGGGACACCATATCTTGAATCATTTGTTCGACCACACCTCGGTCGATTGCTTGATTCCCTAGCAACGGGTTGTTAGCATTCCCTCCGGGATTAGTCCAACCACCGACTCCAGCGAATTGGTTAATATGAGGCCCAACAAAATTGGCCCCTTGATAAGCTTGTAGGCGGAATTAATTGTATGGCGGGAACGCTTGGAATTGGTTAGCCACCGCATATGGGTTGTTGCCAATTGGCGAAACATTAACTGTTGGGCCTGGGTTGCCCCCAGCTAGTGGAGTTGGTTAAGGCGGATTTACTCACAAAAATATTTGGTTGGGCCTTCTCTTGAGGCCCCACCATTGGCACTCCATTTGGCGCCTCCCGATTCCACTTTGGCCATTTTGTTGGCCTAGCATTTAATCAAACCTCTCATTGATTTAAGCATTTTGAGTGGCCATCGTCTATGCCATTGTCTTCGTGACACGCATGAGTTGTTGAAGTTCTAATGAAGTGGCCAGATTCGGCCTCAAGACTAGTTCCCCAGTGACTTCCGTAACATTTTCAACTAACACTTGGTCGTGGCCGAGGGCCGTTGCTCAGCCAGGGCCATTTTGTTCTTGTTGAGAGGTCGGAACATTTTGTGGCTGAGTATTCACAGGGAGTGAACCAACCATCTGATTATGCCCAAAGTGATGTGAATCCCTCCGGCGGATTACTTGGGTGATGGACATGGCCCCAAGTCATCTTTCGCCCAAAAAATCACAAACTTCCACCTCTGTGGCCAAAATCAAGGCGTCATTCATCTTTCGCCGATGAAACTCACTCTTGAGACCTTTTTTATTTCTTTTATTTCTTTTTTTATAACGAAGTGGCCAATTCATTCAAGAATGAACCATGACCTTTATTTAAATCTTACCGGCCTACCTAGTAGGTGGCCGTGTAGAACAAAATTGTCATGGAGACCATGGCGGTGGCCAACCATGTTTTACTCCAAGCTTGGAGCCCTTTTTATTCTCAACTCGGATCTTGCCATTTTGCTGGCGATGGGTTAAAATACTAGGATGACTAGCATTACCCAGATGACTTTCGGCCATCACTTTGGCCGACCCTTCATGCCCCCCCAAGTCTACGTAGTCGGCCAATCTTGGCCTTTGGTTGAGGCTCAATAAACTTGACCACTTGCAATTATGGTCTCGCAATGTCGAGTTTTCCTCCTACAATCATGTCTATTATTATTGCATCTTGAGTCGTGCTCCGACCTTCTTCTTCACTAGATTATAGGCCATTACACTCTAAGATGGTTGCCTTGGGTTGGACCATATTGCAATTTTCATTGGTGACCATCTTTTGGGTCTTATCCCCTTGAGTGGACTCCTTTTCCTCAACCAATGTCATGCTCTCAATAGGATGGTCGACTTGAACATTTGATCCTAAAGTCGTCTCGCCCATCTCTTTCTCACTCTTAAATTCCCTACTAACCTCACTTTCCTTTAGAGGAGTAGGTGGAATGAGTGGCCGACTTGCAACCATATGAGGATTTTCCTCTTGTGATTGAGAATCAAGGTTGTGGTTGAGAGTTTGCTCCTCGGCTTGTTGGCTAAGAACTTGCTCTTCGATCGCAAGTCGCAAGGAGATTTCATGCAAATGTTGGACCAAAAGTTTGTTGGAAATTGCCATCTCCATAAATAAATCTTTCACTTCAGATATTTCCTTTATGAAATTTTGTTGTTCTTTGTCCATGCTGTCAACATATGGCCTCTCACTTACCGCCTGTCCACGATGACGAACCCGCCGCAGACGACGATGCACCACTCTGTGTCTGACTCTGAGCTCTGCTGCCTTGCCCCTGCTGGGCCCCAGTCTCTGTTACAGCAGTACCACTAACAGCAAGAAGGGGACACTCACTCTTATAGTGCCCCACTTGCCCACATTGAAAACACGTCACTCCGCCCCTCTAACCAGAGCCACTAGCCTGCCCACGGTTCGGGCAATCCCTCCTAACATGTCCTGCCTGGCCACAGTTGTAACAACTTGCCGTAAACTGCCTCTCAGGATACCTGGCTGTACCGCCC